TAATCAAGAGAAGCAAAAAAATAAATAAATAAATTTGTAGAAATTTTGTAGGTTCTACTTTATTTTTGCAATATTTTGCCAGAATTTAATTGTATTATCTTTCAATTTCTAAATATGTTTGGTGACTAAAATATAAATTTAATAAAAATATCTGTTTCATAAATCTGTTTAGTTTAAATGCACCAAAATATATTGCCTATAATCACTGAGAAATGGATAAAAATATTCATTTTCAAAATGGGATGTACTCAACTATGCTGAGCACTGTATAACACAAAAACGGGACTGTGAAAAAATGTTGCTACCCACTATTGTTCCAGAAAAAATCTTGTCCTTAAATCACGATCATTTTATCTGAAAAATAAGCAAGATTGATTTATTAATTAACAAAAAAGTACATACATTTTTCTTGCTTGTTTGCTAATCTTATCTAATTAATTTTGTTGCTGCTTTTTTTGTAAGTGGCTAAAAGCATGATGCTGTACAGTGCTTAGCATATATAAGTACACCCCTTACAAATCTATCTTTTAAATATTTTTAATAGGAAGCTATACCAGATTATATGTGTGTATATAGAGTACATTAGATTAGTAAGCACTGAAGCCAAATCTGGAGCTTATCCAACAAAATAACTTACGATAAAAACTAGTACACACAAATTTATGTTATAGAAAAATAGTAAATACAAATTTAAAAAGAGGAAAAATCAAGAGAAGCAAAAAAAATAAAAAAATAAAAAAATTGTTGAAATTTTGTAGGTTGTAATTTATTTTTGCAATATTTTGCCAGAATTTAATTGTATTCTCTTTTAATTTCTAAATATGTTTGGTGACTAAAATATAATTTTAATAAATATATCTGTTAAATAAATCTGTTTAGTTTAAATGCACCAAAATACATTGCCTATATTCCCTGAGAAATGAATAAAAATATTCATTTTCAAAATGTGATGTACTCAATTATGCTGAGCACTGTATATACCAGGGGTGAGCAAACTTTTTCTTATGAAGGGCCAAAAATCAAACTTGATGGGTAATTTCCTAATTTATTTAATAATATTTAAAAATAACTAGAAAACATTGCTTTACATTAATAAATACAGTATATATATATGTTTTTCATTTTATAATAAGCTTATTACAATAAAATCTGTCGAGTGACAGTATTAACATTTTTAAAAAACAGATTAATTTACAAAATTTAATTAGAAGATTTAATTTCAGTTTGCTATTTTGTAGCTCAGCAATTAGTTTACGTCAGATGGGATCGCGAGCCAAATGAAAGGTTACAATAGGCCCAATTTTCGGCCCACGAGCCATACTTTAGGGATCTCTGGTATATACAAACATGTACATATTACAAATTTTATAGTGGAAAACATGGCAAAAATACTTTAACTGTGAAATTAATGAATTTGTGAAGTTCTTAATGAGCAGACTAAAGATTTCCAGTGTTTATTCAGCATTCCTATACAGCATTAAACATCTAAAAAAAATGATTGTTTATATTCAGACCAGAACAAACTTAACTCGTTCTTCCTCTTTTGTTGTTGCAGGACACTCGGTGACCAGCGGCAGAGATACGAACACGTTCGGTACTCTACCACTCAACGGCAACTTTAATAACAGCTACTCACTCCATAACTACAGCGACGGCATGCAGGTGGTGGACTGCGGGCTCAGTCTCAACGACACAGCCTTTGAGAAGATGATCATCTCCGAGCTTGTGCACAACAACCTCAGGGCCGCCGAGTCCCGGATCGGTACCAAAAAGGGGGCAGGGATTAGCAGAGGGGAGGAGCCTGTGGTTGCAGAGACGTCCTCCCTGGTGCAGGTGGGCGGTGACAGTGAGATGGAGAGACTGGGGCTGCACCACACGCATCCCCGCACACTCGAAGCCCCCCTAATCCCCCAGCGAACTCACTCGCTCCTGTACCACACGCAGGAGAGAGCGAGGCCTGAAGCGGAGGCTTCGCATCCCCAGAGCTACATAGGCCAGCTCCCACCTCCGGCCGAAACTGCCCTGCCTTCCCCCAACAGAGACTCGGTGTACACCAGCATGCCAAACCTCAGAGACTCGCCGTTTTCGGAAAGCAGCCTAGACATCGTCCAGGATCTCTCGCCATCCAAAAACAGTCCGAACGAAGACGTTTACTACAAAAGCATGCCCAACCTGGGATCAGGCCAGCAGCTGCACGCGTATTATCAGATGAGCAGAGACAGTAGCGAGGGCCTCATCATCCCCGTCTCTAAAGACGCCTGTGTCCCCGAGGGGGACGTACGAGAGGGACAAATGCAGCTGGTCACAAGCCTTTAAAAACAAACTATAAGCACCGCCCACCATGTACACAGCCCCGCCCATCCACCGATGGCAGAGTGGTCTTCCCTTTTTTAGCCTCCCACATAACTGCACACATAATGGAGAAGTACCGCTGCTGCTCAATGAGTTACATTCAGGCCCAGATGGAATCTGCAGACTTATTGCGTTAGCTCTCCTGATTGTTAGCAGTGGAATGAAAATGATGGTAAAACACAAAGCTTTTCCCTTGTTTTTCAGTAAAAAAACGTCTACACCTCCTTTAAACAAGTTTACTTGAGCAGTCATTTAAGAAACATTTCAATACTTTCTCAAAGCAAAGACGCTGTTTCTCAAACAAATATGCTTTCCTGGAAAACAAGGAAGAATAATAGGATCATTTTCATTTGTTTTGGTTGCTGAGTGTAATCAAAAATCTAATTAGCCACAGTTATTTAATAAATACACATACAAGAGTCAGATTATATGTACAGTAGAACTTGTGAATGGGGGATTTCCAGTTTTATGCCGAAATCTGTGGTGTTCTGAAGTTGTAGATTCTGTATGGGCCTGGTTACAGTAATACAGTTTCACATAAAAAAATAAATAAATAAAGCCAAAAAAAAAAAAAGTCTTTCTCGTTCCAGTGCATACATTTCTCAAAGGATGTACATATTTGTTCACATATTTCTCTTTTGAATGCAGTTTCTTTTTTATTATTATTATTATTATTATTATTATTATTATTATTATTATATACAAAAACTGAATTTCCAGGATATTGTCCTGACTGAACTGAAGCATTTCTTTTGACACCCTTTACAATCATCAACAAAATCCCATGTGACCACTAGCGAACAAACCCCAGGCCTTATATTTTCTCAATCTGACATGAACTGTCAAGGTTAATGATATAACATAGAACAATATATTTTGTTGTATTGATTGTGTAAAAATAAATTGAGATGAAATTATAACAACCCTAAATATAAAGCAAATGAATTTTCGAAATGAGATGACTATGTAAAAAGTGTGTTTATGATGATGCAATCAGTGGGTAACCACAGGTACGCTGCGGAAGATATCTGTTGTGCTCATTTAAATGGATTTGCCACTTCAGATCAGTGAGTGTTAGTGGATTCTGATGTTCTTGTGCTTTGCACATATTTATTTTGTGCAAAGCATGAACGGGACATTTTTTTTAAAGACGTATTACTGCAGTCGGGGTTGGATATTTATTTATTAAATTATTCTTTAAAAAAATGATAATACTTTTTGTGAATATTTTACAGCACTGGTCGACGTAGTTCATCCTCGTAAGCATAATTAAGAAACCCATCTCTGATAAACATGTTAAGGAGCCCATCGCTACAAAGGATGTAAAGTTCTACACTTGTTTAACAATAAATAAATGTGAATTTTTTTGTCTAATCGAATGTTTAATGCTTTGTTTTTTCTACTCGCATGCCTTCAGTTCAAGAGTTCACACTTAGCTGATTGATTATAAAGCTTGTTTAGCAAGCTGTCCTGTGAAAGAGCCCCTAAGCTCATAAGATCCTCGAGCCCGGGGGTCCCTCCTGTTTGCAAGGCGAGAGGGGTGTTTGTGCTCAGTTTCGAGAACTCCCCTGCTGTAGTAGCTAATAAACAGATAGTGATTGCTCTTATGAGATAACTACTTACTTGGAGCATGACTATGGTGCTGATTTGGATTAGTCAATTAACTTAAGCTGAATGTTTTTGGATGGTGGGAGGAACCCAGGGGAAACCCATGTGAGCGCGGGGAGACTGTGTAAACTCCGCACTGAAACATTGGCTGGCTTGGTAAGGACTAGAACCAGTGACGTTCTTGCTGTGAGGCAACAGTGCTAACCACTGGGCCACCGTGCCACTCTTTTAGGAAACGAGGAGGAGTATGGAAGGAGGGATTCTTCAAAACGAAGATGGCTGTGATATAGTACCTAGCGCAGTGGTTCTCAAACTTTTTTCATCAAGTACCACCTCAGAATAAAATAGTCTCTCCAAGTACCACCAAAATGAGCAGTATTGAAATACAGTTTAGCGTAGTAGACCCAGTAAAGCAGCTACAACTCTGCACAGTTAAAAATAAAACATGGCAGATTACCTCAGATATATAGGCTATATGTCATATATGGCATATTATATACATAATTTTTGATCAATTTTGAAATGTGTGTAGCATGTACATGACATATTTCATTAATTCATTCATTTTCTTCTGGGATCTGGGGGTCACCACAGCGGAATGAACCGCCAACTTATCCAGCACCTTTTTAGGCAGCGGATGCCCTTCCAGCCGCAACCCATCTCCGAGAAACATCCACACACTACAGACAATTTAGCCTACCCAATTTACCTGTACCACATGTCTTTGGACTGTGGGGGGAAACCAGAGCACCCGGAGGAAACCCACGCGAAGGCAGGGAGAACATGCAAACTCTACACAAAAACGCCAACTGAGCCGAGGTTCAAACCAGTGACCTTCTTGCTGTGAGGCGACAGCACTACCTACTGCGCCACTGCCTCGCCCATGACATATTTCATTTATTTATTTATTTATTTTTTGTTTATTTCCACTGTTTGAGAACCACTGACCTAGTGTATTTATAGTGGTTTTGGAATCGTCTGATTGGTGAATCAGGTGAATAATGCGGGGCCGACTGCAAGCAATCATAAGCACATGATCCTCTCGAAATTAGTTTATAAATAAACTTCTCTTCAGTTGTGTGCTTGCTTTGTTTGAAAAACAAAGATTGTCAGTCAATTCTAAAACAGAGACAGTATTTCATTGCACTTTTATCTCAGCGGTTTGCCGTGTGTATGCTATTCAAGCTGGTGATGCACATCAAAGTGAAAAGTGCTGTAAGTTGATGCATAAACTGCAATATGAACCCTCATAAACAAGCCGAGAACATTTTGCTGCATTATAGCTAGAGGGCAGTGCACGGGGGAACAGCAGGTTCAAGTACCACAGAAAACTGCAGTTGATGTACTTTTAAGGTTGTCTCTCTGAAGTCCTATTGCGAACTATCACTCCTCTACCGCCGCACCTGCTAACGTAACCTCTAAATTTTCCCTGCACCTCTTTTAATCATCCGAATTCCTCCACGCTCCTCCGGGAGACACGAGTCAATGATATGACAATGGGAATTTAAAGAGGAATACCAGCTTTGAAACGACTGTGCAAAGAAAACAAGCTGTTTAAAATAAATCCTACATTCGTCTTTTAAAATAAGAATTACTGTGGAGGTTTCTTTAGAGCTCGTATTGTATTCTAGCTGTGAAAGATCATCACAAACTCATCAGGGGCAAAACACGGCATCATAAATTAATCAGGCTTGGAGCACAACCTTGGATGCAGGTGCACTTTCTAGGTGAATATTGATTGTGAATTGCCTTGCTGATGGCGCGAGAGTGCCACGCGACTTGAAGAACGTGTGATCAGAGCAAATGATATCTCTGTGGTTTTATTTGGCCTTATTGAGATTCAGGGAAGGTGTTATGTGTAGGTAATACTGCAGCATTCACATGGATTGCTCATTTCATATGAACATCGTCATACCTAACATGCATTTGAACTGTTTCATTTATGTCACAATTATAAGAAATTCGAAGACTGAGAAAAAATTCTTCATGGTGAATCAAACATTAGGAGTAACAAAGCTGAGTTCTCTTTCTCTCTCTCTTCTTTCAAATATGTATTCAGCAAATAAATGTTTTTTAGACTGCACATCGATTGCTGTTTGAGATAAAAGGCAACTTTAAATTACAACTTCATCAAAGATAAATCTTCAACCTGTCAGGGTAAAATAAGTCACCTTGTTTTCTTTCCCTTATATTGTCATTCTTTACCTATCAAGGCAAGCAATTTAGCTGCGATGCTTCCAATAGAAAAGAAAATCTCAAATGAGATCACCCGCCATCAATTCGTGTCTCCTCCGAGGTTAAAAGGAGAACTTTTAAAAATGTTTACTTTACTAACCCTCATAATGTAATGCAATCTTTAAGGCAAAGAGTAATATTGTCCTTTTTTTTTTTTTGCTATTTAGTATAATCATAGGCAATTTAGATTAATTACAATGAGTATATCAGGTTTTTTATGCCTACATTTTATTTTATTTTCAGCTCAGTCCCTTTATTAATCTGGGGTCACCACAGTGGAATAAACCACCAACTTATCCAGAATATGTTTCACGCTGCGGATGCCCTTCCAGCTGCAACCATTCACTGGGTAACACTCAGGCCCGGATTGGCTAATCGGGAGGACCGGGAGAATTCCCGGTGGGCCGGTCCGTTTTTTGGCCGCGAGCTCCAGAATCTGTTGCTTACAGCAGTCACACTTTTTAAATTAATGTATTTATTTACTCGACCACAGTCTTCTTATTCAATATTTTACCGCAGCTCTGCTCTTTTTAACTATTTTCTCGCAGCCTCATGATCAACATGCAGCCTGCAGGTTGATTATCATGTAACTGTTGTGGTCGAGTGGTTAGCATGTTAGGTTTCGACACCACCGACCCGGGTTTGATCTTCGTGTGAGTATTTATTTATTTTTTTTTTCGTTTTTATTGTTAAGACATAAAATACTGTTAGGGTTGTTGAACATTTGAAGTTCTAAAGCAACTGTTTTCTCAAAAAAGACACGCTAGTTTAAATAGAAACTGAATTGGAAATGACCTTATTTCAATATAGTCAGTCGTGAACTGAGGTGGGCCGGTCTGAGGCTTGAAACTCCAGGGCTGAAAAGGAGTCCCACTCTGGCCCTGGTGACACTCATACATTCTCATTCACACACATACACTATGGACGATTTAGCTTGCCCAATTCACTCTTACCACATCTTTGGACTTGTGGGGGAAACCGGAGCACCCGGAGGAAACCCTTGCGAACGCAGAGAGAACATGCAAACTCCACACAGAAATGCCAACTGAACCAGCTGAGGCTCGAATCAGCGACCTTCTTGCTGTGATGTGATAGTGCTATTCACTGCCTCACTGGAGATGGGTTTGGATGCAGACCCGGTGTAGTGCAATCTGAGCTGCATGCAATGCTTTTTAATGCGCTCACCTAACCCCACCCCTAACCCTACCCGTCACAGTGACGTCACTCGCTCCATTGAGAGCTGAGTGATGCAATCTCAGCTTACATCATAAAGGCTGCATCAAGATACTATTGGTCCCACTGCGCCGCCCATTTTATGATTATTAAATGTTTTTTTGTTATTATTATGACTTCGTTCATTTTCCTTCGATTTATACCTCTGCATGAGTAATCGCTCGGGCCAGGCGGAATCTTTTTTGCAATTTCTGCGAATAATTTTGGTAAAAATCTGTGGATTTCTGCGGAATTATTTTAGAAGTATCAAAACTAAAACCTTAATATATGAGATAAAAAATATCTTTTTAACTTTTATTTAATGTTTAAAATGCAAGATTCGCTTTATTTGGTAAATAAAGCAAGTCTCTCATATATTTCTACTAAAAGACAGGAAATATTACTTTACAAATTGCATTGTAAATAAATCAGGTGAACATTTTCATATTAATAATATTAATGTAATAATTAAAAAACTGAATAAATATAGATTTACACACATTTACTCAAGTAAAAAGCAGAATTAATGATGGGCTAAAAATCTGTGGAAAATCTGCGGAAATCTGTATGCGCAAATGCCGTGTGGGTCTATAGTGATCGCCGTGACCCACAGTGCCTGCCTTGCCCGTATTCATGCATTTATACTTCTGCATGCTGTTTGTGTTGATCTGTAATAACACTTCTAAAATGCTAGCTGGCAGTAGATTTTAATGTTCCTTTGTGTCGAGTTTCTTTGTGGATGTTTTGTTTTTTCTAAACGCTACCTTAATGTACAAGTAGCTAAAACTCATTTAGAAGCAAAAACTGGTGGACGTGCAACAACAATAATTAAAGTAAACATAAAACATCAGTTTACATCTAGAGCTACTTTACAGGAATCAATGCTTGTAAACATTTACCCTAACGGGTTTGTGTGGCTTTTGGTCTCACCCACACTGGTCACAGCTATCAAGCTGACCAATCACAGAGCTTGTGCTATATGTTGTTGCGATGTGTACACTGGTAAACGCAAAAAGATAAGGTTATCTTAAAAGTTAAGGTACTGATTGCAACAAACCGTTTAATTTTAAAAACTAATCCTGAGTACTGTGACCTTTACCCATTTGAGTAAAAAAAGCAATCTGAGCACAGTAAAACCAAATAAATGAAGAGAACTCAAACCACCCGAGTACTGTAAAACCCAGTAAGTTAAGGCAACTCAAACCGTTCGAGGAAACCGATTGCAGCAAACCATTTAAGTAAAAAAAATCTATCTATACTGTATGAGTAACGAAGGATTTACCTTCAAAAATGAGTTCAAAACTCTTTTCAAATGAGTA